GGTGTCCGAACTCACTAGTCAGCTCCTGGATGCCATTTTGAGCGGTTATAGTATTTTATGAAATGTAGCTAAAATACTGAACATCCTCGGAACCATTTTGAATCTATGAAATTTAAAATAGGAGTCGAACAGGATGAAGGAATTTTTGTTTGTTCAAGAAATTACTAATAAATTGGCATAGCATTTACTGTTGCCATGCCGCATGTTTCCTTCGTTGAATCACTTACACTTTCCTCTGTAGACCTAAACTAACTCTAGCCTTTTTAATTCGCTGTTCATAAATGACCTGCACATGAATTAATCATATCATCTGAATTTTTTTTTCTAGAGTATCCAGTCTCCGTCGCGTGTCCAAACCAGCTGCTGATGCTGCTTCTGATACGGTTCCGAAACACTCGACCTTCCCCTCTCACTATAGGCCCAGCAGTGTTCCAGAAGATGTTAAACATCCCCTCACGGAACCTGGAAAGCGTCGTACGCCCGATTTTTAACTTTATTGGCATTCTTTATTATCAGTTTTTGAAAAAAGTGCTTTCTAGTGGTCGTGAGCGTTTATGCCATAATTTTTTCGGTACTTTTCAACCATTCCCGCCCTATTGCGTTGACACACCTTGTATAAAACCATTGGTGGCCTTAAAATGAACTCAAACTTCTAAATAGACCAAAACGACCCAAGGGTTAGGACTCCCAGTCACCTTACTGGACCTGTTGATTCACATACAGCATCAGCTTGACCTATTTGCTTCTATGCGTTATGCTTGAGTTGGCACCAGTCCTACTGTTTTTACGATTTTTCTCTATGAACGAGTAAATAGGTACAATGGCACTCTTCAGCTAGTCGGTTTTTTTAAAAAAAACTGCATTCTCTCAGGACTACAGGATGATTAATTAATTTTCGCGATCGTGTCAGTAATATTCTCGCATTAGCCTGACAGCTGAACCGGTGTATTCGTACTTGTGTAGAAGTAACTTGCCGTATTGATGTTGTTCTTTACACCCCTTTTAGCATCAGTTTTACCAGCCGTTACGGAGCAGACAGGAGACGTGGAACCCGCCCAGCCTCCACCCTCCGATGCACCAGCGTAAGTTGGTTTTCCATACTGCAGTCATTCTTCTGCCATCTCGCTTCCTTCCACGTTTTTGCTACAAAATGCAAGCGAGGCAAACTTGTAAATGTTTTAGTCTTGTGCACTAACAGAATCTGGGCTCTTATGATTGGTCTATTAATATAGTTCATTGGAATTTCTCTGACAAATTCACACTGGAGCCATACATTTACCGACCCTTGCTTCTTGAAGACAACTGATTTTGACAATATGACTATGACTTGACTTTCAGTAAGTTCGGCGAAGACGCGGAGGAAGCCTATAATCGCAACAGCGGACACCACCTGCTTGCTGATACCAGGACACTTGCAGAATGAATGTTAGTCCTAAGACATCTAAATAAAATAGCCTATTCAGATGTGCTCAGAGGAGGGAGGGGGGGGGAGTGGACGCGAAATAAGAATTATTAGTAGTTGGCGCCGCTCTCTGGCAACGTGTTCCTCGACCTACTACAATTTTCAAGCAGTTGCCTTTGGTCGTCTATCCACTTTGACAAACTGCGGTATATTTCATGCCATCGAGGGTTTGGTCAATGAGATTTTAGCGAGCCGTTTGATGCGTTTTGGCTTACGCATCTGCTTTTGGATTTTGGATATTAAAACGGCCTCCAATGGTCGTTAGCTGTAAAGTTAGTGGGCTTTCATGTCTGTGGAATGTACATTATCGGACCAACAGTGATAACGCTAGCAGTAGAAGCACACGGCTGGCCTTCTATCTCCTGATGTTGGACCTTTTCCTGCAAGGGTTTTTTCCCATCTACTGTTTTAGAAGAATTATTTGGTGTCCCGCTGACAAATTGTGCGACATGTTACGTTCCATGTTTGTTCTG